TGTGTGTGTGTGTGTGTGTGTGTGTGTATGAGTTTCTGTTTGTTTGCCTGTTTTTACACCTGAGCGTGTTTCGGCGTTCATATGTTATATTTGTGCTCGTGTGTGTGCATGTGTGCGCGCGCGCGCGCGCGTGTGTGTGTGTGTGTGTGTGTCTGTTTGTGTGTCTGTGTGTCTACGTGTCAAATTTATGTTTTTATGAATATATACAATGCCTTTGCTACGTTTGTGCAAGGCGAGTGGTTGGTTGATTTGTGCTGTGGTGTCTTCTCCTTCTGCTTTATATATATATATATAATCCTACTCCTACTCCCCTTCGTCGCATGGCGGCAAGTCGTACCGGGTGCCCATCGGTTTGCTAGCCAGATTGAGGGCGCAAAGTGGATTCGTGAAAAAACCGATTGCCTGACTCGTCGCCTAAAAAAAACCCCAAACCCATTCGTTTTTCCGATCCCATTCGCAACGGTTTTAGAGCCAGCAGAACCAAACTTGCGAGTTTTGTTCCAAATCAGGGCTGAGCGGGCAAAGCACTGTAGATCTGTACAAAAATTCCCCCAAACAACCAAAGTTCAGAAAGCCCTGTTGGGGAATCGAACCAAGTTCATTAGATCCGGTAGTCCTGTATGCTACCAATTGAGCCCTTATTCTTGACGCTCGTGGGAATGAAATACTTATTTTTTTGGCTTCGTGTGGACTTCCTGTTGTGAAGAATTGTTTGATTTTTTATATATTTATGCCTACCAGATGAATCACTGATAGGTGGAATAACAGACAGACAGACAGACAGACAGAGCTTCTGCAATAAGTTCATAGGGTACAGCATTGTCTGTTCAAATAATATTTTGTTCGGACATGTCAATGTTTTCAGTTCCTTGTTGTACCGTCGGTTGTCTGGAGGCTACTGGACTCTTAATCTGGTTGTGGGTTCGACGTTGTGTCCTTGGGAAACGCACTTTGAACGAATTTTTCCATTTGGCTTGGTCATGTCGAAGATGGAAGTTTCTTTCTTTTTTCGACCCAGTTGCCTTTTGAGTTCTAGCTTCGTCTGTATAGGTGGATGTTAAATTCGGAGGTCCCCCCTCTTATGTAATTGTACAGTGTTGCAAGGGGCGTTGAACCAATGAACTGTCCCTTTTTGGGGGGGGAAGGGGGGGGGGTCAGTGTTTTAAGTTCCTTGCTGTATACTAAACGTAAGGCATGTTCAGTACCTACTTGGAATACCTGGAGGTATCATCTCTGGCTCGGTGGATGGCGTGTAGTGACCCGCCATTGCATACAGTCGCTATCCGTGCACTCGTGCATTGGGTCAAAGTGGGCCCAGCCCAAACTTTGGTGTTTTGTGTTCAAATTGTGCTGTGTCCACCATTAACCCTTGCGCCTTTAATCTTGTCTTCAAGTACAAGGTACGTGTACTTTCTTCCCAATGGCCTGGTGACATTTTTATATAACTAAAGCCTTGTTCAATAGGCAAGTCTTCAAGAAGCTTGCTGGGTTCTCTTGGTCAATTGATGGGGCGAAAAGATTCAAAAGAGTCAGCTTCAGAGTCTCATATCATCGTGTGCTTTCGAATACCCTTCAAATCTTGAGTGATTCCATGATTTTACTCTAAAGAATTCATAAAATTGTAGGTTTCGATCGCTAGGTATCATTACAAAATGCTTCTCAATTTCAATGTTTTTTGTGGGTTTTTTTTTTAAAAAAGTGACCATGAACTCATGCTCACAATTATTTCAAACATTTGTGTTTCTGACAAGGTGCTCGGGTTGGTGGTCGTGAGGTGTGTCCTTAAGTAGTACACAACAACCCAAGCTCAAAAATAGGGCACTGCAAAGTGGCGACCAGCAACAGTGTGTGGATTTTCTATAAATCTATATTGTGTGTGTGCGTGTGTGTGTGTGTGTGTGTGTGTGTGTGTGTGTGTGTGTGTGTGTGTGTGTTTATGTGTGTTATATTGTGTATTATTCAAGCAATTACGTATCAATGTTATATACCGTACATTATTATGTGTGTGTGCCTGGTGATAGGTACTATTTTAAGGAATGCGTTTTTATTTTATCTTCTGGTACAAAAATAGTTTCTACACAACTTGCTTTTTAAGTATAGAATAATACAGGGTGATTCAAGAAGAATATGCCAAAATCATTATGGGGTATTTTAAAATCGAAAAACAAAAGAAACCCATAGATTGGACACCTGCGTTGCACATACCTTCAATTTTTATTTAAAGTTTTAAAAGTGCTCAAGTTGACAACCACCGACAGCATTGACAACATCAAGCTGGTATAAGAAAAAAAACTCCCAAACGTGCCTCAGTATCTCTCGGTCCATTGTGTTGATTGTAACTGTCATTCGATCTTTCGTGTCATTGATATTTGCTGAAAGTGGTGGAATTCAAATTTTTTCTTTTACATAACCCTCACAAAAAAGTCAGATATAGTGAGGTCTCACATATAGTGTGGTCCGGGAATCCGGCCAAGCACAGAAAGCGAGGTCTTTAGACCTCTCCTGCCAATCCACCTCTGAGGCATGTTTTCATTCAGATAAACCGGAACCCCAAAATACCAACCAGGCAGTGCTCCATCTTGTTGAAAAATGAAGTCATTCGAATTTGCTTGCAAAAAAATGAATAGCCACTTTTTGGGGTGTATGTTAAAGACAAAATGTATGTCCCACCACTTCTTGAAAATATCGATGACATGAAAAATCGAATAACAGCTACAACCAACAAGGTGAACCGAGGCATCCCGAGGCCCGTTTGGGAGGAATTCTCATATCGGCTTGATGTTGTCCGTGCTTCTTGGGGTTGCCACTTCTGAGCTCCTGCAAAACATGTAAAAAAAACAACAACCCC